TGACAACAATAATAGGAATTATAGTGATAATGATAATAATAATAGTAAAAAATAAAACAACACAATAATAATAATAATGATAATAATAATAATAAATAATAATAATAATAATAATAATAATAATAATAACAACGATAATAATAATAATAATGATAATAACAGAAATTATAATAATAATAAAATTGATAATCATAAAAACTATAATGATAATAAATATCGTTGATATTATTATTATCATGATCATTATTCTTATCATTTAATAGGGCCATCGGAATAATAATCACTGAATAGCGAGAGGAAAAAAAGGTTTAAAATACCACTGACAGTAATCGTTATTTTTTATGATTCATACTGCATTGATTTCTCTCTCTCTCTCTGTCTTCCCGCAACTGCACAATATCAATGCCTTATTTTTCTACAATATATAGAACAAGAGAAGAAAATAGATGTATGCAGAGAGAGAGAGAGGAAGAGAGAGGAAGGAGGAGATATAGACAAACAGATAAATAGGCACACAGACAGCCAGACAAGGAATTATAATAAAAATCCTCTTTTGAATATTTACGCAACAAGCACAGCCATTCCTCGATGAGTAGGACTGAGCTGAATAAATGTCAAGGGCGCCGTCATAAAATTTACACGAGTCCCCCTGGCAAGGTTTACATTTTCTGTGTCTCAAGGGATGAAAGGAGGAAAACTTTTGCTTGACATGATCTTCGCCCAAGATTTCCAGAAGTATTATTCTCTTTGACCTAAAAGTTTTCTTTAATGCTCATGTTAGGTATACACGCGAGCCCACGCACATACACACACACACATGCTATTATATGTGTAAACACACACACACACACACACATATATATTATATGTATGTGTGTGTGTGTACGCATATGGTATATGTATACGCATATGGTATATATAAACATATACATACATACATACATACATACATACATAATATATATATATATATAATATATATATATATATATATATACATATATATGTATGTATAGGTATATATAATATTATATATTTATATATGTGTGTGTGCGGCGCGTGTATGTATATGTAACTATATATATATGTATATATATACACATATGTATATATATCATAACATGATTGTTATTTTGTCATTGCTTTTATCATGAACATTGTTAGTATTATCAGTCATCATTATGATCATTATCAATAAAAATATATTATAATTATTACTGATATCATTATCATAATCATTATTATTAGCACTGTCAAATCATAGTTATCATAATCATTATAACTTTTATTGCTATTACGAGTCTCACTACTTTGAATATTACTATTAAATATTTTATAATTATTATTAATATTAAATTGATTTCCATTATCTTTTATAGTATCTTAACAAAATATCAATATTTAATATATTTAGTAAAGTCCTCTACGTATTAGCCATGTCTTTTAATTTTTGTTTAATAGATGGGTGTGTTCGAAGGATCAAGAAAAACACAGTTAAGCTTTATCCTTTATAAAGTTTATAAACAAATATAAATCATTCTCAGTACAGGATGTCCATTACGCACACTTCAGTTTACAATTAGTGAAGCAAAGTTCACCATATCTACTGATGACCCTAAGGGGACACATAGTAGGTGTACAGATCCAACGTTCATGGAGGCATCGGAGAACACACTCTCAGCTCAGCACTGAGGTACCCACGGCTCCTCACTTTCTGGTTGGAGCACAGCAGGGGCATCAAAGAATATTCTCAGCACGGAGACACGGGGGCATCACAGAAACTATACTCTCAGTACTGAGCACTGGAGTGGTCGTATGTATGTAGTCTAGAGGCATTGTCATATTCGCAACACTCACCGCCGGGTTGGTCAAACTACAATTTTTAATCTCTTTGACTGATGACCAGAGGCATACGATTTCCTAGGCGTATAGGACTATGAATGATCACACTGAGGACTTGGTTTTTTCGCCAAATCTCAGAGGACCATTATCAAAATAGGTTACTCTCATATATATCATCAACAACATTAAGTACATTCCTATACAGAAATGAGCGAATCTCTCGGTGGACTCACAACACTGTAGAACTTCCTATCTGAATATACACAGTGATCAAAAGATGAATGCTCGACACCCATTGGTACGCTGGGGGGAGCAATGTCAGGACCCAGTGGTGTAAATCAACCACCTACAGAAGCGACACAGTACCAGAGAAAGCAGCATTATTACCCTTGGGAGCAGTGCATCACCTAAGCACTGTATTGCCCAAGAGTACCAAAGCAACTCTCAAGGGAATCCATGTCAACATCTGTAGGAGCAATGCAGTACCCAGGGCGAGCAGTATCAGTACCTAGGGGGGAACATGCCATTACATAGAGGGAACAACACAGTAATTAGAGGGAATGCAGTACACAAAGTGTAAATGGATACCCTGGCAGAGAAAGTACACATCATATAATCCAAGGGAGAATTAACGCAGGGATACCCAGTTGGAAAATCA